AGAGAGACACAATGCTGAGACTTAAAGACTTGGAGGAATGCTTCCCCTTCGCTTCCTTTGTAGCCCACTCCTTTTCCTTGGAGCCTCCATGCTCCATCCATTCCTTAGTTAATTCCAGACTCCATTGTCCATGTCTCCCATGTTCATTTCCTTTGTCCTGTCCCTCACTGGGCCAGGGTCACTAAGGTAAGACCCTGTCCCATCTCTCATTTGAACAAACCATTCTCTCTTGTCCACCACCCTCATGATCAGGAAGTGCAGAGTGCGCTTATACCTCCTGGGGACTGTGTTTGCCTACTCTGATTTCAAGCTTCACTCATACTCTCTCACATTCTATTTCCTCCCTGTCTGCTGTCAGACCATGCTCCTATCTTCTCCATTGTGCCCCTGCTAGCTCCTTGCCACAGTTCCTGCCAGCCACAGATTTTAGTTCGCATTGATTCTCTCTTTCCATGCTCCCTCAGTCTCTCCAGTAGGAAACCCCTGTATCTCTCCCCTTTGAGTCTTAGTTGTACATTCAGAATTCATTCAGGCACTTTCCACTTTCCAAGTTTTCCCTCAGAAGTTTTCATATCCAGTAATAGGAGAAGTGTCACTTTGACCCTGTGGCATTGTTCTCCATCAATTCTTTTGGAGGATCCATTAGCTTCAAAGCTAACATGCTTCTTTGGAAAGGCCTTTGAAAAGATTATGAAGGATCATATTTGTGGGAGTCCAGCAGGAAAAATAATGCAGCATGGAAGGGAAACCAGCATGGGTTCATAGCAGGTAGATCATGCCTGACCAATCTGGTTCTGTTTTATGACAGGGTCACAAAATGCTTAGACGCAGGAGTAGAGTTGGATGTTGTTTTCTTGGATTTTAGAAAGAAACAGTACAGTCGATACAGTATCTTATCCCATTCTCATAAATAAATTAAGAGGCTGTGACATAGATGTTTACATGGTCCAGTGGGTGGCAAATTGGCTTAATGGTCACACCCAGAGAGTGGTAGTAGATGGCTCGGTATCGACCTAGAAGGATGTGGGTAATGGGGTCTCACAGGGTTTGGTCCTTGGACCTGTACTCTTCAATATCGTCATCAGTGACTTGGATGTGGGTGTGAAATGTACTCTGTCCAAGTTTGCAGACGATACTAAATTGTGGGGTGAAGTGCACACTCCAGAGAGTAGGGAACAATTGCAGGCAGACCTGGACAGGTTAGAAAAGTGGGCAGTACACAATAGGATGCAGTACAACGAGGACAAGTGCAGAGTGATGCACCTAAGGTGCAAAAATATCCAGCGCGCCTACTGGCTGGGAAGTGACCCTCTCAGCAGCACAGAAGCGGAAAGGGATCTCGGAGTCATGGTGGACTCCAAGATGAACATGAGTCATCAGCATGATGAAATCATCAGCAAAGCTAACTGTACTTTTTCATGCATCAGATGATTTGGAGGCCGCAGTTGGAGTACTGCATCCACTTTTGGGTGCCATACTTCAAGAAGGCTGTTGATAGAATTGAGAGGATCCAGAGGAGGGCCACTCATATGGTTAGGGGCTTACAGGGTAAGCCCTATGAGGAGAGACTGAGGGAGCTGGACCTCTTCAGCCTCCACAAGAGAAGGCTGAGAGGTGATCTTGTGGCCGCCTACAAATTCATTAGGGGGATGCAGCATGGGATCAGAGATGCTCTGTTTACCAGGGCACCTCTTGGGGTAACAAGGAACAATGGTCACAAACTGACAGCAGATTTAGGCTAGATATCAGGAAAAACTTCTTCACAGTAAGGGTGGCCAAAATTTGGAATGGGCTTCCAAGGAAGGTGGTGCTCTCCCCTACCTTGGGGGTCTTTAAGAGAAGGCTGGATAGGCATCTGGCTGGGGTCATCTGACTCTTTCCTGCCTAGGCAGGGGGTCGGGCTTGATGATCTGTTGAGGTCCCTTCTGACCCTAGTATCTATGTATCTATGTATTACTGGTATTATCATTAATTGGTATTATGTATCATTGCCTTAGGTTGAAAGGAAAGGAAATTTGAATTTGGAGGAGAAATTTGGGTCTGGAACCAAAGCAGCACTGGACACAGGAAGGAGCACTTGGCTAAGATAAGGACTGAAAGCAAAGTGGCAACAGCTGTTGAGGAAAGGTGACTCAAGAAGAACAGTGATAGACAAGGAGGCCCAGGATCTAATCAGAGTCAAACTATGACTTTCAATGCTGAAACCTCCAGCAGTCTCCACTGGACCAAAGCAAGGTTTCTGGACAGAAGTAACGTTCATGAAGACAGTTTAAGATGGGTGAGCACCACTTGAAGACTATGGCCTGTGGGTAGTGAAAGCATGGTTTGGCCAGAGCCTGTTACTTCAATGAGAAGGTAGTAAAAGTAGAAGAGCCACTTGCTACCTGTTTCTGCTTCCCCACTCCAAACATATGGACAGATGTTGGTGAGGATACTTCAGTGCATCTCTAGAGCCACTCTCAAGACTTCAGTGAGATGCCCTTGAAGAGCTTCTCCAGTGGATGGAGCGCACTCAGGAACATCTGTGCCAGGACACTGCCACTGCATTGTAGATGTACACAGGGAGTCAAGACTCCTACAGCCCTGACAGCTGTGAAAGAGGGGACTGTGAAATGCCTACTGAGTAGAGTTGGCTGAAATTTTTTCAAATGAAAAGGCCTTTTGCTCCTTGAAAGTCTCAAAGAAACATCAATGTTTTTGAAATTTTCCATTTTCCAAAACATTTTTCCAGGATAGATTATTATTGCTATTTTAATCAACATAATTTTCTAATTTTGGGTTACTAAATGTTGTTTGCAAGTGTTCAATGAATAAACACCATTTTACAGAAACCAAAAGCATCAATAATAATTTCAATAAAAACTGTAAAAACATTTCAGTTCACATAGTGGTAAACATTATTCCCCCCCAAAAAGGTCTAAGGTCAGAAAATGGGTTTGTTTTGAATTCTGTCAAGTGGAAATATATTTTTTTTTAGAAATGAGAATATCACCTTCCCCCTATATTTCAACCAATCCAGATATTAAGTCCAAATTTTTTGTTTTTAAGGAATTTGAGGTTATCCTCTGCTTCTTTTTGTTGAAGTATTAGACTACTGTCTTCCTGAGGAGGAGATAGTTCACCCCAAAAGATGCAGGGATGAAACAGGAGTGTACAAATGTACTACCATACCAATCTGCCCCCCCCTTCTCCCCCCCCCACTAAAAAGGCATAGGCACAGGTGCACTGGGGAATAAGCTTAAGTACCCTAAAGGATACTGCAGTCTGCACACTGCTTTTCTGCAGCAAAGGCAAGTAGGCCTTTGCCTAGTTATACTCAGGGCTGTACCTAAATGGTACAATTTAATCCATGCTAGTTATTGCTACACAGACCACAATCACCATACCACAGCATGCAAACCATGAATTAAACCCACAATATAATTAAGTGCCATCAATTTTCACAGCCACTAGCAGGAAAATAAACAGGACACATCAATGGAGAAAGACAATGTGATTTCAGGTTTAAGCTTCCAACAGAGAAATGAAATTTGAACAAACAAACAGTATTTCCTTTAAAAAAGAAAAAAAAAAATTCTACTGCCCATAAAAGCAAGAGCCTGGTGACATTCAGGTCACTGTGCAAGATGCATTTATTTGGTTCAGCATTTGATTAACTGCTTGTGTTTTTGTGTTTTAATTTTCTGTAATTGAAGCACATTGCTGTCATGGTGACAGGCACTATAGAAATGAGTAAAATATATAAATAAAAGTTCAGAATGGTTTTGACCGAGTCTACACTAATTAGTGTGTAAGACAAACAGACAAATGTTTTCTGGGATTTTTGTCAGCTGTATCCAAATTCCTCCTCTGCATCTCAGTTATCAGCAAAACCCTTTTGAGACATTAAAAAGGCAGCAGATGGTGCTGGGAATACTCATAGTCATAAGATATGTTCTCGCCGAGCCAGATATTAGTAACAAACGATCCAGTAAACAAATATTGTGAACCAATGAACCAATGACCACTTAACATGCTGGTAGTGGAAGTAGGGTGGGAGCAACAGCACTCCAAAATGAGTTGTGCTGGGCCAACAAGAGCCTATGCAGAGTTTGCGTTTGGTTAAACAGTAGGGGTGTGCAAAGTGGGCCCTATTTGATTTGGATTCAGATTTGGCCTGAATCAGGGACAGTGATTTGACTTGTTGATTTGGATCACTGCCCCTGATTCAATTTGGCCGAATCCGAATCTGAAGATTCGATGCTGATTCAGAGAATCAGCAATTTGGACATCATAGACACAGCTTTAAGTGTTTTTTCTACATACCTTGAGATACCAGGTGTGGCTCATGTACACTGCGATGCTGGGGCAGATGGAGCGTCCCACAGAAGTGCGGGGGCTCCCCGTGTGCTCAGTGGGAAACCCAGAAGTGTACCAGCAGTACTTCCAATCCACTTCCAGGTCTGCTGGGGAGTGCGCTGGGGGGCACCCCTCCAGCTTGGCAATCAGCCATGGGAGGACCCTGGGTGCCCTCCCCAGACCCAGGAGGCACCAGTTGCTGAGCTGAGGGGGTGCTAGGGGGCGCCCAGCGTGCTCCCTGGCGGACCTGGAAGAGGACTGGTCCACTTCCGGGTCTGCTGCCGAGCATGCTGGGGAGCCGCCTGCCCTCCTGTGGGACACTCCATCTGCCCCAGCATCACAGCATTAACGAGTGGCCTGGTACCTTGAGGTATGTAGAAAAAACATTTAAAGCTGTGTCTATGTCCGAATTGCCAAATCTTTCCAAATCTCTCCAAATCCCTCCAAATCGATTTGGAGGGTTCCAGTTTGATTCGGAGAGATTAAAGTGTCCTCTAATTTGATTCAATGATTCCGCAGCCAAATCGGGCCAAATCTCTGCCAAATCGAATCAGGGGCCGAAGCTTTGCACAGCCCTAATAAACAGCTAAAGTCTGATCTGAATCATTCAAACTTTGATGGCTTGTGAGTCAGGTATTGGACCTTCTTTCACCTCATACACAGCAATAGGTCTCCTTAAGATGCACCACCTCTCTCTGCCTGTTATCTTTCAGTGATAGCCTATCAGACCCATGCTGCCATTTCTTTTGGGCTGTCAAACATATGACCCGTGGGCCCGTAGAGCTGCCCCATCCAGCCTACGGGGCTAGCAGTGGGACAAGGGACTTGCAGGAATAGATAGCAGGGGGAATACCCTGTTGTAGCATCTGGGGCTCTGGGGCCCTGTTGGATATGGCTACCAGTGGCAGGGGAGAACAAGCGAGGGTTGTGCCAACATAAAACTTTCTTTCAACACTGAATAAGGAACTTCATTGTTTATGGTGAAACTTATAAAAAATATTCTCAGGCCTCTCCTGTCTGCCTTCCCATTGAAGATTTAAAGAAGCAACAAACATATGTATTATTATTGCTATTGTCATTGCATACTTAGTCTGATCATAGTATGCTATTGTATCTAGATTAACCCAGCCAAGTGGGTGCTGCAGGGGAAGAAGTCTGGGGTCTCTCTCCCAGCAGCCACTGCCAGAACAACCTTTCTCCCCATCCCTGACCTCCTGTCCACTGGCAACTGTCAGCAGTGGCTGGCAGGGAGAGGGGGAAGGAAACCCCTCAACCATGAGGGCCTCCCCACAGCTTGTTGCCTTGGGAGTCAGAGACTACCAGGCTCCATTCCCCCACCCCTGACCACAGTTCCTGGTGTGGCAAAAAGCTGGAGCAGCTCCACACTGCATGATTCCGGCTGCAGCTGCCAGCTCACTTGGGTGGCAGGGGAACTGGGTGAACAGAGCCCCCTGCCACAAGGTGCCCCCCACAGCTTGCTGGCTTGGGGCTCGAGGGTGGGGGGCAACCCAGGTCTGCATGGCAAAGGGCCTCTGTTCACAACCCCCTTGCCCAAGCAACCTGGCAGGACTGCCCCTCCTGCAGCTGCTGACTGCTACTGTCAAGAGGCTGGGTGGGGAAGAAGGGAGCCCCCCTGTTGTAAGGGTCCCACCCACAGCTTGCTAGCTGGGGTGTTTGGAGGGAGCTGGGCCGGACTGCTCTAGCTTTTCACCGCACCAGGAACTGTGGTTGTCACGGGGAGGGAGCCCATTGCTCCCAGCTTGCTGGCTTGGGAATTGTAGCGGGGTCGGTTTGGGTTCGTGCCATATGGGGTAAGCCCCAGTTCCTGGTACAGTGAAATACGGAGCTGGACAGCTCTGCCACAGTTGATGGCTACCACTGTCAAGAGGCTAGGGTTGAGGGGGGAAAGAGAGCCCTCCTGTCACATAGGGTTGGGTATTTGACTGGTCAAATAAAGTTTGGTCAATTGAATGGTCCAATATTGGTCAAAAATTGTAAAACAAATTGCCAATAAGTCCAAATAATACACAGAAAAAACACAAATTTTCATTAAGAATTGTGTCAAAAAAATTAAAAATCATATTTCTGTCAAGAAAACTACAAAAAAATTGCAGTTTTTTTGTAAAATTGCTTTAATCTTTGACTGGTCAAAAAATATGCCGTCCCTCCCCCCACTGGCCCTAGTTCTCCGTGTGGGGAAATGCTGGGCTTGGCTGCTCCTCCTGCAGCTGCTGGCTGCTGCTATCAAGAGACTTGGGCAGGGGGAAAAGGAGTCCCCCCTGCTGCAGGAACCTGGTCTCCCCCCACTTCTCATAAGACTCAAGCTAGCAAGCTGTGGGGGGCCCTTGTGGCAGGGGTCTCCCTTTCGCCCGTCCAAGCCTCTTGACAGCAGCAGCCAACAACTGCAGCAGAGCTGCCTGGCCCCACACTGTGCTGCACTAGGAACTGGCTGTGCTGCTGGCGGCTGCTGTCAAGAGGCTTGGGCAGTGGGGAGGAAAGGTGCTCCCTCTGTCATGGGGACCTGGCCCAGCTCCCCCCAAACACCCCAGCTAGCAAGCTGTGGGTGGGACCCTTACAATAGGGGGACTCTCTTCTTCCCCACCCAGCCTCTTGACAGTGGCAATCAGCAGCTGCAGGAGGGGCAGTCCAGCCCAGCATTTTCCTGTACCAGGAACTGGGGCCAGGGAGAGGGAGCCCCCTGAAAGACCCCAGCTAGCAGGCTGTGGGGTGGTCCTCACAGCTGGGATCTCCATTTCTGCTCCCTCTCCACTTCCAGCCGTTGCTGACAGTTGCTAGCTGGTCAGGGGGCAGGACTGGGGGCAGCTACTCTGGCAGCCTCCTGGGAGGCATGTAGGAGTGCCTCCCACCTGCTGGCTTTGGCTAATGCAGGCAGGCACCAAGGGCCACCTACCTTCACCCCTCCCCTGCCCCGCAACCAACCAGTGCAGGTCTTTTTGGTTGGAACGCACTCTATCTTATAGCACTTAAAGTGTGATAATTAAGAGTGTTTTCTGAAGAAGCTTTTTGAACGTCTGTACTTAGCCCTAGATTGGGTATTATGGAATTCCAGCTACCGTCACTGCCAACAATGGATTTCATTTTGCCATTGGGGAAGTTGCAGTTTGCTGCATCATCAGAATTGGAACATTTCATATCTCCTTTTCATCACAGCTAGTTCAATGGCAGCAGACTGTAGAAGTAGCTGTCAAGATTGCCAAAAAACTACTGGGGAAAGCACCAAGTGACAGCAGTAACCTATGGAAGCAAGAGTGAACTGGGGAAAAGGAACTCATAGAAGATAACGGTCTGCACACTCGCAAAGTGTCTTGCATCATTTAGGACGCAGAGAAGGCTG